ATGACTGAATCTGGTCCACAGCCAATACACAAAATAGTTCATAGCAACTATTTAGGAAAGGGACAATACTGGAATATCAGAAGTTTTACAGGTCAGGCCTGCCGTGCTGTAACATCTTTGGAGGTAGACTGGCTTAGGGCATATCATGCAGTAATTAATCTAGTACAGACATAATAAATCAACTGCCAAGTGTTCTCCCATAGATTCCGTTACTTCATCAGAATGAGATGCGTAGGTGGAGTTGACGGGAGAGTCAGCTGTTAACTTACTATGGTAAGTAGATCTAAGTACACTGACCTCAGTTATATTATTCACACAGCTGAATTTGCATAACTTAGATAGACGGCTCATGGTGAAGTAAACTAGGCCTAATAGAGCAGCCCTATGCCTCATTCTAGACAGTGATATCAATCCCTTGGCTCTCACATATATGAAAAAGAAGGAACCACAATGGTAACTTCTACAGTCTCATTGGGCCTGCTCCCCTTGAAGTCAATGACCAAATCTCCCATTGGGAGCAACACATCTGAATGCTCTTTGCCTAGGGACAGTCCTGTGCATCATCCAGCTCTGCCATGTTAAATATCTCACACAGCATAAACCACTGCTGGGGGAGGCAAGTTGTCAAGCAAAGCCCCATAAATGTTAATGCTAAGAATCAATCACACAGAGGTTAACTGCCAGTTGCCTGTTTTATGGCAACATCGAGCTGTAGCTCTACACAGCCTCCGACTGCCACATTCCCTTTGTCATAAAGGGCGGTCTTAGGAGTGGATATCTGCTGGCCGTTCACAGTGCTGCTGAATCTCCTCGGCGAGGTCCAGGCACCGCAGGATGCGCCACTTCTCAGCAGCTAGCTCCTCTCTGGAGACCTGGCCTAGCAGTTTTTTGGCAAAGAGGTTCTGATCTTGCATGAAGAGACCCACAGCAGATCTTGGGGCCTCAGGGAGGTTCTCCAGGCAGCCACTTTTGAAACAGAAGTTGATTTTCTTATCACGTCTCAGCCCTGGTCCCCTTTCTTCAATCCATGTCAGAGGCCTAATGCAAAAGAGTAGAAAAAAACCCCACCATTTAGGAAGAAGACACAACAAAGACGGGGCCTCTGCAGTGAGGCTTTCTGCTACACAGTGAAATCACAAAGGGCTGGGCCAGGTGGAGGAAGCTCACAACACGGCATGGCAGTTGAAGGCAGAAGCAGCAATGCTGGCAAGCTGTGACAGTGGCAGCACTGAGCAGCTGTCGAGATGGCAGCGTCATGGAACATCCTCATCACTGGGTTGGGTCTCAAGCTGGTTCTGTTGGGAAATGCTAAGAGGAACCCTTAGGCATTGATCCCATTCTTTGTTGTGGACAACACCTGGCAGAAGCATAGGTGCCGAAACTGGAGGGGGGGAGGGGGGGAGACACGACTAGAGGTCCTACCACACTCCATGGCTTCCAATATATACAGGCTTTACAGTTCGATTCAATCATTCTCGGCATCCCTGCTACACACATTGTTCCAGCACCTCTGGGTAGCAGGGTTACAGATGGTGTGGTTAGGTTACAGGCTCAAAGAACAGAACTGAAGGTAACATGGAAGGATTGGGTCTAGAACTTAGAGCAAAGGATTCTGAGTGTAATCCCTGGGTACTATTTCGACCTTCTGGCCTTGAGTCACAGCGTGATCTTGGCCAAGTTCTGTAAACTCTTCCCACCTCAATTTGTGCATCTCTAAAATGGCACAAATAATATCTAACTATCTCACAGGAGTGTTGTGAAGCTTAGTTCATCAGTTGCTTTTTAGTTCATGGATGAACGTTGTCATACAGGTGCAAAGGAGAGAAGG